ACTAATATAGCAAAGCACTTTTGGGCAGAAGCTGTGAACACAACATGTTATATTCAGAATAGAATATCTATAAGACCTATTCTTGAAAAGACTCCCTATGAAGTATGGAAAAACAGAAAACCCAACATTTCTTATTTCCATCCTTTTGGATATACTTGTTTAATTCTGAACACTAAAGAAAATTTGAACAAGTTTGATTCTAAAGCACAAAAGTGTTTTCTGCTGGGATACTCTGAACGCTCAAAAGGCTATATAGTATACAACACAGAAACTCTGATTGTTGAAGAATCAATCAAAGTCAGGTTTGATGATAAGCTTGGCCAGCAACAGCCAAAGCAAATTGATATTTCTGTAGGTACAGAAGATCATACCTCAAACTCTGAAACTTCAAAAGCAAAGAAAGACTCAGAAGCAAAGAGAGACTCAGAAGCAAAGGAAGACTCAGAAGATCACCCTCTTGACAATGCTCTGGACAATCTCAGAATCTCTGAACAAACCACTCAGAAAAGGTTTCCTAGAATCTCTTCAGCTCATAAAGAAGATGTGATCATTGGGAGAAAAGAAGATCCCATCAGAACAAGATCCTCTCTCAGAATCAATGAAGAATCATTGTTTGGATTGGTATCTCTGATTGAGCCAACTTCTATTGATAAAACTCTGGAAGACAATGATTGGATCTTAGCAATGCAAGAGGAACTCAATCAATTTTCCAGAAATGATGTATGGGATCTAGTTCCAAGACCCAAAGGATTCAACATTATAGGAACCAAATGGGTTTTCAGAAACAAACTGAACGAGCAAGGAGAGGTGATCAGAAACAAAACACGACTGGTTGCACAGGGTTATAGTCAACAAGAAGGAATTGATTATAATGAGACCTTTGCATCAGTCGCCAGGTTAGAGTCTATTAGATTATTAATTTCTTTTGCTATTCAAAATAACATTTCATTATATCAAATGGATGTTAAAAGTGCATTTTTAAATATCTATATAGAAGAAGAAGTTTATGTCCACCAACCTCCTGGTTTTAATGATTCAAAACATCCAGAACATGTTTTTAAATTAAAAAAGTCTTTGTACGGTTTAAAACAAGCTCCCAGAGCTTGGTATGATCGTCTAAGTAATTTTATTTTAGAAAAAGATTTTACTAGAGGGAAAGTGGACACAACTCTATTCAGAAAGACATTTAAAAATGATATATTAATTTGTCAAATTTATGTTGATGATATTATTTTTGGAACCTCTAATATCTCCCTTGGAAAAGAATTTGCTGAGACCATGCAGGCATAATTTGAGATGAGCATGATGGGAGAATTGAAGTTCTTTCTGGGAATTCAAATCAACCAGACATCAGAAGGTACTTACATACATCAGACGAAGTATGTCAAAGAACTTCTGAAGAAATTTCAGATGTCAGAAAGCAAAGATGCTAAGACACCTATGCATCTAACATGCATTATGGGAAAAGATGAGGTAAGTATGAAGGTAGATCAGAAGCTCTACAAAGGTATGATTGGATCCCTTCTCTATCTGACTACATCTAGACCTGATATATTATTTAGCGTATGTTTATGTGCTAGATTCCAATCAGATCCTAGAGAATCTCACTTAACTGCTGTTAAGAGAATTCTGAGGTATCTGAAAGGTACTACTAATCTGGGTTTGTGTTACAGAAGATCAAATGATTTCAGACTAGTAGGCTATTGTGATGCTGATTTTACTGGAGATAGAATTGAAAGAAATAGCACCTCTGGAAGCTGCCAGTTTCTGGGTGAAAATCTTATCTCGTGGTACAGCAAGAAGCAAGCAACAATTGCACTCTCAACAACAGAAGCTGAGTATATATCTGTTGCTGGATGTAGTTCTCAGATGATTTGAATGAAAAGTTAGCTAGAAGATTTTAATCTTTATAAAAGTAAGATTCATATCTTCTGTGATAATACTTCTGCTATTTGTCTTTCTAAAAATCCTATTTTACATTCTAAAGCTAAACACATTGAAATTAAATACCATTTTATAAGGGACTATATTTAGAAGGGAATTTTAAATCTAAACTTTGTAAAAATAGACCATCAATGAGCTGATATTTTTACCAAACCTCTTTCAGAAGATAAATTTAAATTCATTTTGAAAAATATTTGTATGGAATTATGTCCTAAATAAAACTGTATTTATCTTCTGTGCTTGACTTCAGAATATTCTGTTATGAATGCTCTGATTAACAACTCTTCAGAAGTTAGAAGAGAAGTTACATCAGAAGTTATATGTAATGTTCTGAAATATTCTAACGTTTCAATTCAAGTATAGCTCAGAAGTTCATTAGATCAAACAGTTGTCCCATGCAATCTTCAGAAGATGAACACTCGGTGTATTTCTGAAAGGTCACGCGTGCTAAGCTAATGACGCCGTTCTAGGTAACTGTTATGATTTGATTAAAATCTCACGCTTTCCCCTCACTTTTCATTTTCATTAAATACTAAGTCATTTTTTTAAATATTTTTTTACAAAACCTATTTCTGAAAAGTCTTCATATAAATTTGTAAAAACCCTTCTCACTTGTTGTTTTGTTGAACCTCTGAATCTTTTATTAATAAAATTTTTACGCTCTTCAACTATTTTTCATTTACTTTTTGATTATGCCAAAAAGGGGGAGAAAATGAGTATTTTGATCTAATCTCTGATTAACATTTATGGGACTAAGTCAAACATTATAACAAAATACAAGATTTCTTTCTATGCTTTTAAGAACTTTGCAGGTATCATTTAAACTCTGAAAGTTTATTTCAAATGAACATTATCTTCAAAAGAACCTGATGAACAAATCTCAGAAGAAAAATTCCAAAGCTCTGATAAAAATTCTCAGGAAGTTTTTCTTATAGAAATATTTATTTCAGGGGGAGATTCCTATCTCTTATTCAAATTTATTTCTATATCTGAATATATTTTTGTCATCATCAAAAAGAGGGAGATTGTTAGAACAAGATTGATTCTGATCATATCTCATAGTTTTGATGATAACAATAAATTATATTTTATATATTTGATACTCTGATGAATGTATTTAACTGTTTCAGATAATATTCTGACAGAAGCATCTTGATGTGCTGAGCTGAAAATAAATGAAGAAGTTCCTTGATAAAAAAACTATTTGTTTTAACGCAAGTACTGATGCTGATGCTGTCTCTGATAATGTTCTGACAGAAGCATCTTGAAGTGCTAAGCTAAAAATAAATGAAAAAGTTCTTTTGATGAAAGAACCATTTGCTTTAACTCAAGTGCTGATGCTGACTCTGGTAAGATGATTATTTTAATATATCTTCTAACGCTTAACAAATTTCTATGTAAGCTATGTTTCAGAAGTTCTTTGAAAGCAAGTGCTATTCAGAAGATATTTGAAAGCAAGTGCTGTTCAGAAGATATTTGAAAGCAAGTGTTATTCAGAAGATATTTGAAAGCAAGTGTTGTTCAGAAGATATTTGCAAGCAAGCGCTGATCAGAAGTACTTAGCAAGCAAAGCATTGTTTAGAAGATATGCAAGCATGTTCTGAATACAAGACGTGAAGCCAAGTTCTGAATGAATATAGAAGCTAACAAGTCTTGTCAAGCTTCAGGAGACATGTTCTTACATAGTGCCGTTTGCTCATTTAATGCAAAGACGACTACATGCACTCAAGTGTCTACACTAGTGCATTGGAAAATGGAGTAGTGCAAGGAAACACACAAACATTTAATGATCTCCATTTGAAGGCAACAACAGACATGTTTTCTCATGCTATATATAAAATAAAATTAATTGCAAGCCAACTAATGCTCAAACGCTCCAATGAAATATTGTTGAAACGCCGAAAGATTGAACAACTGAAGTTCTGAATAGAACTTATCAATTTCAAAAGAAGCAAGAACAACGTGAAAGATTATGGGCTCACAAACAAATTTCATACACTTTGTGCTATAATATTCTTAGTGAAAAAGCACAGTTGTGATATAGCTTTCTTAGAAGCAAACTTTGTTTCACTATCTGTAAAGATTTATATCTTGTAATTGTTCCTTGATAGACCAAGGTTGGTCAGAATTCTCAAGTAGACTTGTGCATTGTAAGGTTACTTGTGCATTGTTAGTCACAACAGTTGTTGTGTGATTGTAATCAGTTGATTATAGTGGATTAAGTCTTTGTTGAGAAAGGCGAAATCACCTTGGCGGGTGGACTGGAGTAGTTTGAGTTCAAACGAACCAGGATAAAAATAACCTTGTCTTTCCTTTATTGTTGTGCCTTTAAGAAAAAGAAAAAGAGAAACTTATTCAATCCCCTCTAAGTGTTTTCTCCACCTTCAACTGCAACTACTGTGGATCAGACTCGGGTGCGACTATTTGATGTTCTTCTTCAGCCATCATTTGTCGAGGTTGTCGTCCTTCACCTCTTTGTCGAATAATTTCTCCGTTCAGGCCTCCCACGCGCACAACTAAAAATAACAAAAAATGAGAATCAGATAACCTTGAATCAAATTCTCCAATAAAAAATATTAAGAATCACATAACATAGTTCCAAGTTATCCGGTTAGTAATAATATGAACCGAATAATCATATACCAAATTATCTGATGTGTATAAATTTTTGTAATCAAACAAGAAAACTTACTTATAAGATTTCCGGTGTGTTAAAAGAGTGAATCAAATATTTTTACTGCGTGTTCTCCGATGGATTGTTTAATTAAATATTTTGAATTTATTTGCAAGTACTCTCGCTTTATTTAAAATGAAATAAGAAGGAAAAAAAACTTTGAAACTCGTAATTTATAGGAATAGAGGAATAAATGATGGGGTAAGGAGTATAATTTTAATTTTTTATTTAGGAGAAGGATATTGTAGTGGGATGTAGTGGGGTGTAGTTGGGCGAGTGGTCGAGGAAAAGGCCCACTCACTCTCAAAACCGCATGATTTGCCAAACCAAAACCCTATCAAAAAACCAAAACCGAAACTGGGCGCCACCACTCTTCCACACCATGGGAGGTCGCGGAAGGTCACGAACTCAAAGAAAGCACTTCCGTGACAACAGAGAAAACGTCTGGAAGCGTTCCAAATCCGATCCAGATGCTTCCTTATCCTCCGATAAAACTCAAACTACTCATTGGGCTCCTTTCGCTACTCAGAACCCTTCCTTCGATTCATATTACAAGGAACAGTTAATAGTCGATCCACAAGAATGGGAAAATTTCATCACAATTCTCAGAACACCGTTGCCTGCATCGTTTAGAATCAATGCTAGGTAAACTGCACTGTAACTGTTCTCATTCATCGATACTTGTTATTCATTTATTTACGTGAATTTAGTTCGTTTGGTGTTGCAGTAGTCAATTTGCCGATGATATTCGTTCGCAATTGGAAAATGATTTCGTGCATTCTCTTCGCGCCGAGGTATGTTTTTACTGCAAAAGTGGGAGTTATGAGAAAATGGTGTAACTGTTTTTTTAATTTATTTAAACGTGTGATGTTGTAATTATGTGAATTGATTATTTGTAGGTTGCTGAAGGGGGTGAGACAGAGGCTATTCGGCCATTGCTTTGGTATCCAGGGAACTTTGCTTGGCATTCCAATTTTTCGCGGATGCAGCTTAGGAAGAATCAAACACTAGAGAGGTGAATATGTAATGTTGATTGTATGTTTTTTAGCTTCTGGGAGTGGATTAGGAATAGAAATATTGACAATTTCTCAATTAAGATTCATATATTATGTAGGAATGTATATGTGTTTTTAGCTTCTGTTTTTTTAAGATGTGGTTCTGCTCTATTTATAACTTAGTAATCTCTTATGTGCCTAGTTTATTTGTCAATCTTATTTGACAGTGATAATTATAGAGTTTTTCTATTCTTTGGTTTGAAAAAGGAACAAAACTGCCTAGTTGGTTGAAAAGATATAAATATAAAGTATCTGGTGATCACGGTTAGGTATTTGGTCATGTATTGATGATGCAAAACTAGAAAGACCATCCTTATTTATACGCTCCTTATTTCTACATAGTATATTGAGCTTTTGCTTGTATTCCCTTTTTAAAAATTAATTTAGGACAAATCATTACACATTTTTAAAATTGAATAATATTAAATTAATTTACTTCTCAGTTGTTGTTGATATATGACCCTTGGAGTCGGTGGAGTCACCGGGCACATTTGTTCATGTAATTATCTTTATTTCACACACATCAAAATCAACAACATGAATACTCCCTCCGTTTCAAAATGACTGTCATTTTCACTTTTCGATGTAGTAATGATTACCATTTTTCCAATTATGCCCTGACTACTTTTTACTCTGGACACTACTTTCAATACATTAATAAGGCTAATTTTATAAAAGTATAATGTCTTATGACAACATTATTGCATTCCTTAATCTGTGTGCAAAAACTTTAAACGACAGTCATTTTGAAACGAAGGGAGTATTGTCTAACAACGGATAACACATTTTACTTTATTCTTATTATACTGATATCTCAATTGCTGCCTCTGACTCGCTGAATTCTCAGGTTCCACGAATTCTTAAAGCTAGAAAACGAAATTGGAAATATGACAAGACAAGAAGCTGTCAGTATGGTGGGTTTCTTTATCTGCTCTTTCATTTTCATGATCGTACATGATTTTCTTTTTGTTCTAGATTTCTGAATGGCTAAATTTCTTAGGTTACTACTACTTTTGACGTCTTAAGAGTTAATTTATACCACTCTAATGGTTGTTTGTGACAGGTTCCTCCCCTATTCTTGGATGTGCATTCAGACCATTTTGTACTAGATAGTAAGCAATTTCTGGTGCACTAAGTATCCTGTTTTTTACCAGCCATGATTCAATTTGCTACATTTGAAACTCAAGCTTTGCTTTTTTTGACATTTCACTTTTCTTTGTTTTAGTGTGTGCTGCACCAGGTTCAAAAACATTCCAATTGCTCGAGATTATACACCAATCAACAAAAGCAGGATCTCTACCTGCCGGAATGGTTTGTTTACATTATTTGTGTGCCAATTTTAGTTGCTTTGATCATCAATTGGTGGTCAGCTGCATCTTATATTGGACTCATTAGTTTGCTAAAATTATTGACCAAGACAGCAAGCTCCATTTGCAACATTTGCTAACTAGTGTCTTTTTTGTAATTATAGGTTATAGCAAATGATCTTGATGTCAAAAGATGTAATCTTCTCATCCACCAAACCAAAAGAATGTGCACGGCCAACCTAATTGTTACTAATCACGAAGCACAGCATTTCCCAGGATGCCGTTTAAAAGGGAATCAAAAAAGAAAGGAATTAGATCACAATATTCACCAACTGTTATTTGATCGGGTTTTGTGTGATGTCCCGTGTAGTGGAGATGGTACGCTTCGTAAGGCACCTGATATGTGGAGAAAATGGTAGCTTTAATTTCTTCTCCAGCTTCACTTTCTTTTCAACCAAAAATATTTTTTTATGACTTATTTTACTTCTGCAGGAATTCTGGGATGGGACAAGCGCTTCATAGCCTACAAATTTTAATTGCTATGCGAGGTACTTTCTGAATATTTTGCATATATAAAGGGCATGCCTTTGCTAGCTTGTGTTTTTGTTTCCTTATCCAGCATCGTCATTGCGCTCAAATTTGTTGACTTTTTCCAATTAGAATATTGGTAATCGGTAATTAGCAATGTGGGTTGCTCACTAAGTCTACCTTCTGTTCGAGACAGTTTGATGACTTGGATTTCAATCCTGGAACCCACCCAAGGCTCGTGCGATATAATTTTTTTGTAAATCCTTCTCAGGTTGGGGAATGCTGAGTTGTCTTTCCCTTGAAATGAGGATAGCCCCTCCTCTCCTTCTAAAAACTTTGTAATCATTAGGAAACAAAGACTTATAGTAAGATGACACAAGTCTACTGATAATGGTTTAGTGTTGTGCTTTTGTGAATAATCAGAATGCATGATCATAAGTTGAACTCGACTAGACTTATCTTAGTTATCTTATCTAGCATGGGAAAACGAGCATTTAGGTTTAGTCACAAAAAAGTTAATGTTTAATTTTTAACTGAGTTATCCTTTTGCTTAAAATTGGTCTTTGTCATTGAGTGAAACCATTTGTTCTTCTAGATTAATATTGCTCTATAAATTGTTGGTCTGTACATCTTTCCTATATATTTGAAAGAGAACACTTGTATTATGTTGAGCCTCGAGGACTGGAGTAGTAGCTTCTCTACCTGTAAAGTTTGTCATGTGTCTTCTGAAGATGAAAAACATTCTTTTGCACCAAAGAAGATATTTGTATGATGTTGTTTAAACTGATTTCGTTAAAGAATTTACCTCTGTTTATTTTCTTAAATGAATAGAAATGAATTTGAGACTTATATTGCAGCAATCTTAACAACTATATTGATTATCTCAGGTTTATCTTTACTCAAAATTGGTGGAAGAATGGTTTACTCTACGTGCTCAATGAATCCTATTGAAAATGAAGCTGTGATTGCAGAGGTAATAGTCTTACTGAGTGCTTATTTTCATGCAGCCGTGCTAGTTGCAGTCCTGACTCACAAAAGTGTCGGGTATATAAAGATAAGCCAATCACTAGTTACCTTGAAAGCACATTACACTAATTTCATAGGTGTAACTGTACTGTGTTCATAAAAGTTACTGATGAGCCTTACACACACTTAGAAAAAATTGAATACAGAAATAGGTAGATCAGGCCTCGAGTCTAGAACACGAAAATCTAACAAGGGGCTGTACTCAATTCCATTTTTCTTTATCCCCTCTTTTTACTGTTTTGCAGGTTTTGCGGAGGTGTGGCGAATCAGTCAAACTTGTTGATGTTTCTAGTGAGCTTCCACAACTAATTCGTCGGCCAGGTCTCAAGAAATGGAAGGTTTGTGTTTGATGTGGCCAATTTAACATGCTTTCTTTTTGCTGTGAGCAGGTCGCCAGTCCAAGTTTTGATTATAATACATTTAAATCATTATTTTTTGAATAAGCCAAATTATATTAAGATATATAATCAAGCACAAGTAGTGCAAGGAAAGAAAGAAGAAAAATGTTATGAGCACTAAAGACAAGGACTTGGCCTAAAAAACTAGCCTACCGAAGCAAGACCCAAAAAAAGGATTACAAGGATAAGAACACAAAACGAGGCAAAAAATAAACAACCCAACCAACCAAGATCAACCTCAATTCAATGGTGGATTAGACCACCATTGATGAAGAAGGTAGTCAAACTCGGGCGATCTTGCTTTCAACCACCAAGAGTGGATTTTCACATCATCAACAATTTGAGAAACATATGATTCTATTTGTTCAAAGTCAACAATTTGAGATACATATGATTCCATTTGTTCAAATTGTCTAGAGTTCCCAAATTAACCATAGGATCACCAACAGAATCACCTGAAGTGTTTCCATCATAGCCGTAGTCTTTGAAATTAAACCATAAAATTGATGTTCATACATGCCCAAGTATTAGTAGGTTTTCTGGAGATTGTGTCCTTTTGTAAGGTAATTGGTGTTCCAATGTAGTACATCAGTTGACAGTTGTGAGTAAAATACTGTTAGGATACTTGAAGAGCCTATTTCAAGAGGAGGATGTTTTAGTGAAAGTGGGACATGAGAGGCATACAGTGTGGAGAGTTTATGAGAGAAAGAAAAAGAAAGGAGTGGAGGGAAATAACTGATATCTTTAGGATGTTTTGATTTTTATTTTAAGTATGCAGTTTGTGTTAAGGCAGTTATGCATTCTGTTTTTATTTTAAATATGCAGTTTGTTGTGTCATGTCATATTTTGAAAAGAACCACTTGGTTGACAAAGGGAGCAGGGAGATGTCTTTACCTCTTTGAGGAGCATATGCTCTGGATTGTTATTGTCTTTGTCTTATAATTTATTACGTGTGCAGTAATATATCAGATTCTGTCTTTGTTGTGTTCTCTCTTCTATCAAATACCGTGTGCTGCCTGACAGTTACCCCCCTCTTCTAATTCCAAATTTTGACTATTTTGCGATTTGTGTTTGTTTTGAATGTGTCTGGCAGTAATTAATTCTTAATAAAATTCTGGCAGTAATTAATTCTAATAAAATTCTGGCAGTAATTAATTCTAATAAAATTCTGGCAGTAATTAATTCTAATAAAATTCTGGCAGTAATCATTTGGATGTCCAACTTTAGCATGTTACCTCTTGGTCAAGGTTTTCAAATTCACGATCTAGATCTTAAAATCTTATGATTTTGGGACCCCACTCGCTCCCAACGATTCAGATATTAAATAAAATCGTGTGTTGTAGCCAAATTGTGAAAAAAATTGTGAAACATTGATTATGAGCGATCTCGGCAAGTTCCGGCCATGATCGACCGTTTTCCGATTACCACCATTACAAGCCAAGAAGGATGACAAGATGTCGAGGCACAACAATTACGCTCATATGTTTTACGATCTTGCTACCCCCTCTGGATCTTTCAAAAATAATTGGGTAGAATCTTCTGACCTAGTTACGATCTTACTGTCCCCTCCGATCTTGTGCAAGATCTCGATCTTGACAACCTTGCTCTTTGTCTGCACTTGATTCAGCTTATGGCTTCAAGTATAGAAGGGTCAAGTTTTTCTTCGTAGCAGTTTGCTTTTGAGTGTTTTTTTTTTGTTGAAAGAGCGAAAATGAAAGAAAATCACTGTTGATGATATCAGAGTTTTATTACAGCTTAGGAATAAATCAATATACAATCAGCAGCATTTACAAGAGAATATGCTATTCATAAATTTACAGAGTATTCCTATATTTAAATATCATTTTTAAAGCTGTTTGATTTTGGAGATGCAGGTATATGACAAGAGCAGTTGGTTGGTCTCTTACAGTGATGTTCCCAAGTTTCGTAGAAGTGTAATTTTTCCCAGTATGTTTCCTTCTGGCAAAGAAAACCAGGATCCTGATAATGGTAATTGTAATGTTCACATGGAAGATGACATTACTAGTGTAGAAAATGGAAAAGCTGAAGATGGTGTTGAAGCACTAGAGAATCCTGTTACGTCCGAGTCTGCTGATGAAGTTTCAGCTTTTCCTCTAGAACATTGCATGAGGATATTGCCTCATGATCAGAACACTGGGGCCTTCTTCATTGCTGTGCTGGAAAAAGTTTCTCCTCTGCCAGGTAGTCTCATATATAATAACATCTCTCTCTCTCTCTCTCTCTCTCTCTCTCTCTATCTCTTTCACTATTTCTAACTCTCTCCCTCTCTCTTTCTCTCTAAGCTGCAGTTTTTACCTTTTCATTTACCTGGACTTTTGCTCATGATATTGTTTTTGTTCTTGCAGCTGTTGCGGAAAAACCTAGCAAACACATTGATGAACAAAATATAGAACCACCAAACCAGAGTCTTGAGAACGCACAAGCACCACAGATCAATTCATCTGACTGCACAATTGAAGAAGTCTTCAAAGCAGTTCCAGAGGAAAATATGATTGACAATGTATCCAATTCAGAAGATTTGGAAGTTAGTCCTCTTACACGCGAACGCCAGAATTCCGAGGAAACTGAAGTGCCACATATTGCACAGGACACGGAAAAGAAGGTTCCAGGCAAAAGAAAGCTACAAATTCAAGGCCAATGGAGAGGTGTTGACCCTGTTGTCTTTTTTAAAGATGACACAGTTATTAATAGTATAAGGGACTTTTATGGGATTGATGAGCGTTTTCCATTCAATGGCCACCTTATTACACGTAATAGTGATACAAGTCACGTGAAAAGAATTTATTATGTCTCCAAGTTTGTCAAGGATATTCTTGAGTTGAACTTCTCAGCTGGGCAGCAACTGAAAATAACCTCAGTTGGCATGAAGATGTTTGTAAGTATCCTTTATTCTCAATTTAGAGATATTGTTGTTCTTGTTAGAATTTTTATATTACACGATTGTCTTATTTTATTTGTCATCCATGTTTTGAATTTAAATAAATAATAATTTGTGTAGAAGATAATAATCTCATCATTAGAAGGCCTAAAAACATTGGTTGGTAGATAATGGTGTTGGTGCTGCAGGGGTTCGGTCTAGGCGTGGTTGACATTTAGTCAGTTTGAAAAGTTTAATGTATAAATTTTTTACTGTTTGACATTTAAGTCAATGTTAATTACACCTTTTGTCTTCTATTAGAGTTAGAAACTTGCCCTTATTTTACAGGAAAGACAAACAGCACGAGAAGGTACTGATGCACCATGTGCTTTCCGGATATCATCTGAAGGATTGCCCCTTATTCTCCCATACATAACAAAGCAAATTATACAGGCATCTCCTGTGGACTTCAAGCATCTTCTGCAGGACAAAGATGTAAAATTTACAGATTTTGCTGATGCCGAGTTTGGTAAAAAGGCAGAAAATCTATTGCCAGGCTGTTGTGTTATAGTTATGGGTAAAGGTATGTGTCCCAGGTGAAGCTCCAGAAAAGGTTAAACTACACCGTTGACATTGACATATTTGTTTAGTGACATTTTTCCTTTTCTGCAGGGAACACAGTTGCTACAGAGTCCCTCAATGTTGATGAGTCAACAATAGCCATCGGATGCTGGAAGGGTAGGGCAAGGTTGGCAGTGATGGTTACTGCAATGGACTGCCAAGAATTGCTTGGAAGGCTTTTAATACGTCTAGACACAGAAAAGGGCTCTTCTGGGCATGTGGACAAATCCTCTAATGGTGTGGGAGGTGAACCCTCTAAAGAAGGTGAACAATAAAAATCATGATGATGTGAAAGCTACTAAGGACTCCTTAACTGATACTCTGTTGTGACAGATATTTATTTATGCTATACATTTATAGAAATGATTATCTTTTCCTTCACCCATGAATGTTCATTGATAAATTTTTGTGAATCGTTTCTAAGACAGACCTTGGTTCATATTTGTATCAGTATGCATAATTCAATGCTGGAAAATATTGCATAAATTGTTTGTGAGAAACACCATTTCTATACAACTGAGGTTTGACACGAGTGATGGTTCCAATTCACCCAGCTTATCAATGGCACACAACGTTTAAATTTTGGCCAAATTCATTTCCTGCAAAATCATTACTTGCGAACATAAAAGTTGCATGTACATGATTGATTTTGATTAGTGTATCTTTTGAGCCATAATGTTTTTGGACTAAATAAAAGAAACCTGTCATCCAAGAACATATTTCTGAGCTTTTCTAAATGGCCACAGCTGACAAATAGCCACAGGCTACGATAGGATACGAGCACACGAGTCAGTAACAATTTCACAAAAACATTCAGAGTCACATAAATTCACTTGAGAAATTAGAAATTCATGAATCGTAATATTATATTGGCAATCTATAATTCTATATATTAACCTTCATTTGTTGTCTTTCACTCTGGAGCCCAAACAAATTAAATTTTAAGTATACAAGAGAGAAATCTGCCAAACCTTTCAAAATTTGGTAATAGGAACATTGAACGGTGAAATATGCTAAATTGAATCAAATTAAAAAGAAAATCAAGACTGACAACACATACTACTCTTAGCAGGGACCTCCTGCCCAGGACCTGGAATAACAATTTTCTGGCCCAATAAAGAAGCTGAGTTCCCATTTCCCTGACTTTCATCAGCAGCCAGGTTTTTCTTGTTGACAATGTTGTATATTTCTGTCAAAACTGTCATGAAGGATGATTCAACATTAGTTGCTTGCAATGCAGAGGTCTCCAAGAAAAACAAGCCTTCTTTCTCAGCAAACTCTTTTGCATCCTCTGTTGGTACATCACGCTGGTTCTCAAGGTCGCTCTTGTTCCCTACAAGAATAATGACTATATTCTTATCAGCATGGTTGCGAAGTTCTTCTAGCCAACGAGGTATATGATCAAATGTCTGACGCTTTGTGATGTCGTAAACCAACATTGCTCCTACAGCACCCCTGTAGTATGCACTTGTAACTGCTCTATATCTGCACCGTAAAATGAAATTGTTTGTCCTCTTAAGATTACACTAAAAATCTATAAAAAAAGAGCAAAAATTAAGCATGCGCCTGTTATTCATAAATATGTTTTTGTTTCTCTTTCATATACTATTATTATTCATATCAAACAGCATGAGAATGTAGAGCAAAAGTCGGACAGAAAAACAAATTACAGGGATTCATCAGCTTAATTAGTTTACAATAGTTTCACATGAATAATTTATTACATAATAGCATTAATTTCAATTCCTGTGAAGTTGATCAATCTGCACAATATTTTATCATAAAATTTAAATCTAATGGGACTACATTTTTTAATACCATTGAGTTTTACAATGCTGCATCATCTATTTTTTTTAAAAAAAATTACTAAGGTGGTTTACTTGTAAATGAACCTAAAAGATTGTACTACACCATTTAATTTCCCATCATGAATATATATTTTTAGATGAGACACTTTACGAACATTATTGACATTTTATTATAGAAATCTTTAACAAAAATCACAGATACTAAAAATAGACGTTGAAATGTGAATTAATTTATCATTAATTAAATAGAGATAATTCTGTAAAGAAATACGTGAGTATTTTTGGTAATTGATCTTGCGAAGAAAAGGCGGAAAAAAAGAAAGAGCGAGTATTGAGTTTAAAACTGAATTGCAAAAACACACTCTGATCTCCAATCATACACTTGGCGATCGATCCATATCTACCAGAATCAGATCACGCAAGAAACGAAGCAGATCGCGTCGTAAACGATGCAATAAACAGTTGTAATGGTAACATAGTTAACAGATTCGAATCAGAGAATATGTAACTAACTTCTACTGAAAAGCGTTAGAAAAGTTAGTTAGAGAAAGAGAGAGTACCGTTCTTGACCAGCAGTATCCCAGATCTGAGCCTTGACGGTCTTATGATCGATGACAAGAGTCCTCGTCTGAAATTCAACTCCGATGGTGGACTTTGAGTCCAAGCTGAACTCGTTCCTAGAAAATCTAGCTAGTATCTGTGATTTCCCCACCGCCGAATCACCGATCAGAACCACCTTGAAGACGTAGTCTATCCTCTGGTTCGCATCTCCGTAACCGCCTGAACTTGCCATTTCCGATCACAACAATAATATTATTTCTCTCTGTGATGAATTCAGTTATATTCTCTCTCTCTCTCTCTCACTTGAGTTCTTGTGTTTCTTTTGCTTCAAGATTAAAACTACTAATAAAGGAGTTTTCACCAGCACAAAATAATAAAGATAATAGTTGGATGGATCTTGTGATAGGTGAGAATGAGATAGACTATTTTGTGAAATTGGCTTTTTGATTAAATGAGGATTTCCTTTATTTCATTTTATGATTTTAACTTTTGTTAATTCTTATCATAGCTGTCTATCTAATTTTGTTAAATATGAATTAATTATTTTAAAAGAAATTAATATTATTTATAATTTATTGGAGTATATTGTATAGTAACGAACATGCACGGAGGGGATATTATGGAATGAAGAGGTGTAATTGCGCGGCAAAGAAAAATGCCAAGCTGGCGGCATGTTGTTTGTGTTGTTTAATTTAGGGTGAAAAATGATAAGTGGCGCAAGAGGGTTGTGTGTCGGTTTCTACACCAAAAAATATGATTGCGTGGGAGAGACTCGTAATGAAAAATTAATTACTATTTTCTTCATTTTTAAATAATTTTCGTTTTAATAAATAAATTTTACTTTAAAATAATTTATTTTTATTTTTTAATATAGTAATAATTACTAATTTTAATTATTCATTTTATATTTTATTTTCTACATTAATTTTAATATATTAATAAAGTTAATTTTATAAAAGTGTAATGTCTTATGACAATATCATTGTATTTTTTAATTTGTGTGTAAAAACATTAAACGAAATTCACTTTGAAACAAATGGAGTAATGTGAAAAAAAATAATGATTGAGGTCAGCAAGTCAAAAAAGCGTCCCGTAAATTCGGATTTTTCTTCTAGTTGGATAGACGAATTCAATGTTTTAAAAAATGGATCGTCAAAACGAAGAGAGTACTTATTCAGTGATTGATTGGTCGAATTATTTGGTTATTAATCAAATTGCATGACAAAATTGTTGAAACATTTATGGTTTTTAAGAAAGACGAGGAAGAAGAAGAAGAGAGAGTTTCGGAATGAGAGAAAAATTATATATCAAAATTTGTGAAGTTTTTAAAATTGTTAAGTGTATAAACTATACAACGTCACACACATTTATAGGCGATCAATGCCCAAGTCCAAAATGCACAAAGTTATATTTTGGCTTCAAGACAACAGCTATATGTTGTATTCGATTGTGTCGAATACAACTGGCTTTTACTAGGTCGAACACACATATGTTGAATACAAACTTTTCTACAAAATAATGAATTACAACTTCTAACACACCACCTAATTCATGTTTTTAATGTTGGAAATCCACCAAATATCTATGATGAATTTATACCAATCTTGATGAACAAGATTGATATCACCACACAATGACAATGAATTATGAGAAAAGAAAAAAAAGACAGTTATTTTCTGCAGAGTTTCTCTCTGCCCACAAACAATGGAAAACTTTATTAATCACTTGCAACTGCAAATTCTGTGATTACAATGAATTGACTTAATTATAAAATTAGGGGTTACTCCCTCTATTTATAGATTTATGTTAGCTTGCTCCCTAAACCAAAGCCCAAAACTATAAAAGCCCAAAATACCTATTTTGGTACTAAATTAAATCTATCTATTTTAGATCTAAATCAAATTTATCTAAATCTAAAACCAATCAAATCTGTATGTAGCTTGCTTCGATCCACAAGCTCTTCGACTGGGCAACCTCCCTTTGACATACATACTGTTTCAACATAATCGAATTATAATTTAACACACCACCTAATTCATTGTGTCTAAATTATCTATATTCATCATGGTTCTTAGTCTTCTGAATAATTCGACTTGCACTCCCTTCAACATGATGTATGCAATCTGATTCTCAGTTCTGCAGTATTCCAAATTCATCTTCCCATCTGCTACCTGCTCTCGAAGATAGTGGAACCTCATTTCGATGTACTTGCTCCGACCATGTGCTATCGGGTTCTTCGCCAGATTGATAGCTGACATGCTGTCGATCTTCATGGTAATTGCCCCATGATCTTTCCCTGTTATCTCTTCGACCAAGTTCACCATCCAAGTTGCTTAACATGCACAAAGAGAAGCAGCTATGTATTCTGCTTCACATGATGATAATGCCACTACTGATTCCTTTCTTGAACTCCAAGCAACTGGTGCACCACCTAACATAAACACATATTCTGCTGTTGATTTTCAATCTTCAGCATCACTACACCAACTCGAATTAGTGTATCCTACTAACTTGCATTCTTTTCCTTTATCAGCTGCATGAAACAAAATGCCATAGCCGAGAGTTCCTTTGAGATACCTTAGTATCCTCTTTATCACTGCTAGATGTGATACCTTTGGCTTCTGCATGAATCTACTTACCACACCTACACTATATGCTAAGTCATGCCTTGTATGAAAAAGTCATCTCAATGACCCAATAAATCTTCTGTATTAGATTGGGCCGACATCATCTTTATCTACATCTTTCAATAATTTCTCCTGCATATCTTCTTTGATGCATCATCAAACCTCTAATGCTCTTGTAGAATTCGATGCCAAGGTGTAATATAGTGGGAGAACTGACTTGGGTGTTTTGTGTTTTATCACAATTATTGCAGATAGCAAGAGTCGCCACCGACTTTTCTTTTATCCAATAAAGAAAAGGGTGAAAAAAACAGGAAAGACCTTTGAGATATTTTCTTGAGTTCAGGGGGTAGGTTATGAAAAGGGAAGGTGTTAACACCCTTTTCATCTATAGTTATCTACGGGCTCTTAGTTGCTTGCTAGATCACTTTTGCTTTGTTTGAAATGTACTTTGTGGTGTAAGTTTGAAAATATTTTGAAAACGCATTTGTTTCAGAAAACTTTGTAATGATTCTCGTCTCTATAAGAATGTATACAAAGTGTTGGTTTTGAAAATAGTTCAAAAAGATGTTTGTTTTTGAAGATGTTTTGAAAAGTGTAAGTGTAGAAATGGTTTTAGTTTGCGAGCAAGCAACTACGAGCGTCCTACCTACTCAAAAGGTCTATGTTCTTTTCCTCCTCCTTTAGATGTTGCTATCTTATCAATGATTGGTAAGAAGGCCCATCATTGGATGTGAAGGGACATGCGTGGGTTATCGTATAGTCATGAATGAAAATATTGTGAGATATCTTAGCATTTCTCTTAAGGGTCTAAGATCATTTGTAAGGCAACATTTGAAGTGTCATCAAGGGACTATGATCTTGCATTTTTGATTGTTTTTTGCTAAGATACCTCACATGTGCAACATGACCATTTTTAAAACCCTAGAGGTGCAAAGTGTGCAAGTGTATTGTATTTCATGTTTGGTTTAATCTTGAATTAGGGTTGTCTACTTGTTTATTTTAAATCTTGCCATACACACCCTAATTACTAGCATTTTATATAAAAAGCGGTAAATTGCCGAAAATAAATATCCTACGCTATTACATAATTTGGGGATGGGGTATACAAATTTACAAATGGGGGATGGAAAGCAATAAAAGTCCTAATTATTACAACCATATTGAAAATCAATGAAAGAAAATATATAGAAAATATATAAAAAAACAAGAACAACGCAAAAGAGAGAAAAAACAAATCTTTCGATTCATGCAGTATGTTCGAAGCATGCACCCTTCGATTCACAGAGAAAAAACAAATCTTTCGATTCATGCAGTATGTTCGAAGCATGTGTCATACCGCAAATTTGTCCTACCTCAGTAATCCTTTTCTTAGAGTTATTTAATTAAAAGATGGTACAACAATATCTGATGGACTGTCTTTATCAAGGGGGTGTATTTTAAAATAAGAAGATTTAGCTGTTATTAAAAAAGGAGGGGTGAAAATTAAATCCGGGAGTATGCAAAAGAAAGGGTAAGAATTCATGCTAGGCCCAATTGAATTAAGGGAGAAGTTCGGACTGTAAACGAATAAATGCTAGGCTGTATGGATCAAGCGATGACCCATCAGAGCTTCTGGGACAGAAATCCCATAAGTTCTTCTTTACAGAAATAAATGTAAAAGTTGTGCAAATCAGAGCCAGAATCACGCACAAGCTAGTGCTGATACAGAACTGGAACATCAGATCTTGTAGTAGGGTCAAATTGTAAGTGAGGGCAGAATTAGATTGTAAGCAAGGAAGAATCTTCCACAGCCCAAGCTCAGAGTTTCAGAGGCTAAGCAACCCAAGCCCAAATCTGTTGGACGTGCACTGTATCAATTTCAATCAAATCTTCCACAGAGGATCAATTCCAATCAAATGTTTTTAATTTTATCCTCAATCTTTGATCTATCCATAGTCTAAGCCCAAAAATTGAACATTATAAATAGAGAAGTAAATTAGCAAACGAAAAAAAGAGAGGAGGAGAAAGAGTTTCTGGAGAGAGAGAGACGAATTTGCAGAAAAGTTTACAAAATAAGAAAAACGCAGTAGGAGCAAGAATAGGAAGAACACAAGAGTTTATGGAAAACCCAGAAGAAGAACACGTAGAAGAGTAACTGAGGTTCCAATATCTGGAACCCTAGTTTCAATCGCCGTCACTCCACCTTCCATCGCTGCTGTCACCCGAATCTGTAGAAGAAGAAGGAAAGGATAGCAAAACACGCACCCGAATCAGAAGTAAAGGCGCCAAAGGGATAACAAATTTTAATTTTTCTTTACTGTCTTCATGCTGGGTGTAAGATGAATAGGGTCAGAAGAATATAGGCAGGGCTGAAACCATATAAAAGATCTGTAGATAGTCTTATAATCTGATTGCATATGTTCACGCCAATTTCTTATATTCAGATGTAGTTCCCTTTTTAGAAGTTCTGACTAGGCTTAACCCAAGTTTCAGATTTTTCCCTTGTCCAGAATCAACATTAGACTTATATACTTTTTGTCTGCCCTTTTCCAGATATTCTGAGTAGTGGGCTTAGCTCAGAAGTTAACACCCCTATTTTCTGACTTTTCTAACTAGCTTATATCGT